CGCTGCACTCTGCGCTTCTCCTCGCGCGGCTCCCGCGCCAGACGGCCCGCCCCCGGGGCGCGCTCGCAGACCGAGGTAAGAGCCGCAGGAGCGAACAATGTGCCTCTGTGGTGGGTTCCAGAGACCTGTTTGCTTTGCGCCTCCTGCCCGGGGGTGCATGCTGGAGGTGGAGGGAGCCGCGGGTGAGTTGGGGCTCGGCTGTTTGTTTATGTTCGGCTGGGCCGAGGGGGAGACCCGCGCTCGCTCAGGCTGCTCACCCCCTCCCCCTTCCCCTCCCACCTCCTCTCCTTGGAAATCGATACGCAGAACTCCCAGTCCCGTCCAGCCTGCTTCTCCTTTTCTCCGGGAGCTGCTGTAACGTTCTCGATGCATCAGTTTAGTTGCAGGGGGCGCTGGGGGGAGAAGGGAGTAGGATTGCATTGTGCATATTTTGGTTTTAGGACAGCTTGGGTCGGAAGGTTCCGTTCGTCCTCTCAGTACGTCTGGGGTGGGAGGAAATGTGAGGCTCGTCCTCTGCTGTGTTCGGGGTGCGGGGCCCTGTCCCCCACCGTCCCACCCGCCTGCAGACCGGTCCGGGGCTGGAATTGGAGTGGGGAGGCCGAGCGCTGGGAGCGAGTTCGGGGAAGTGGACGGTGGGGGAGGGTTGGGCTGAGTTGTTGCGGGTTGTTGTTTCTTCTTGTCGGTGGTTAGGTGGTGTAGAGAAGCGAGGATGACAGCAAAGCGCAGCCAGATGTGGTCGGGCCGTTGCTGGGGCTGGCAACGATTAGAGGCTCCCTGGCTGGGCGGGAGAGTGGCGGGGCCGGGCACCAGCGGGCCCTGGGGAGGGCAGAGAGCCTCCCCGACCCGCAGTGAGAGGGCAGTAGCGGGCCGCGCTGGGCCTGCGGGAGAACTTACGGGGTGTGTGCTCCTGGGGTGGCTGTGCGTCTGGGAGCCGCGGGAAGCCTGGTTGGTAGTTTGGGGTGCCGGGTGGGGAGCAGCGGGGAGAAAGAGGCGTGGAAGGAGCGCCAGGAAAAGGGAGACCTGGGCTAATCGAGCGTGGGCTTCTTGATTGGTTGGGGGCAACCCCGACCCTCTGTTGGAGAGGCGAGGGCGAGCGAAGCGACAAAAGCGTCCCAGCAATGGGAAGCACGCTTGCAAGTCTCCTTCGCTTGGAATCTGGAAAGTTTGTTCCTTTCGTCGCACTACGGGGCTTGGGTTAGGGGAAATCTCTGGAAGCTTTACTTTGGGCCAAAGTGTCGCTGAGCGGAGGCTAAGGAACGTATGTCTTTAATGTATTTTTTATATTTCGTTTACTTTGTCTTCTAAAAGCATAGTTAGAGGGACAAGTCCGCTGGTGTCCGTCTTCTTTTCCCATCTTCTATGAACTCCTCGCCATTACCCTTTCCCCTTTCCCTGGCCCCCTTATT